TATGCATGGAGACAGTATGTTCCGCCCCCCCTACGGGGGGGCTCCACTTCGTTAAAAATAACCCTACCCACCCTATGTCGAAGTGGAGCCCCCCGTAGGGGGGGGGGGGGGCGGAACATACTGTCTCCATGCATGTACTTCCATGACGTACAACAGATGGAGATGGGAGGAGAGATATAAGATTTAGAGTTCATCATTTTTTTCGAAAACTATTACTCGCACAGTAAAAATGAATAGAACATAAAATGTATATTTCAAAGAGATCTACAACTTTTGTTTAAAACATTTTTCAAAATTTTTAATATTTGTGTCTGAAAATTACATATAATTGGTTGACATTGTTTTTTTAATAACTTTTTAATAAACAACGAGCGCCGGCTAAATCCTTCTGAGGGTTACTCAGAAGGGTGACCTCTATAATATATGTCAAGCCCAAGGTTATTGGAGGTGGGTGTGCTAATCTAAATAATTACCGCGACGAGGACGGATATTTGGCTTACAAATTTTGGCTAAGAAGGAAAATTTTTTTTTCCTACAACGTGGCACGACATAACGTGGCAAGGCAGTTATACGAACTACGGGCATACTTGTGAAGGCAGAACAGCGTTTGCTGTGAACAATCCTCAAGAAAATGCCCGCCAGTGGTTCTACAACCGATACGATCCAAGAACTAGAGAGAGGACAGGGAATAGCAATCCCAAATTCTTTCACGATTGAAAATTTCAATCCTGAAATTACAACGTGGCGACGGTTACAACGATTACAAGGTGCGTTCAAGATTTTCCGGATCGAGGGAAATACTCGTGTACCATATTTGCTGCATTACATGGGACCGAGTGCTTTCGATATTTTGTGTGACCGATTAGACCCGGAAGATCCATTCTCGCAAGCATACGAGATATTAACAGCCAAGTTAGAAGAATTTTACGATCCAGCACCATTAGAGATTGCGGAAAATTTCAAATTTCACCAACGGCGACAAGCAGAGGACGAATCAGTTCAACAATTCGCAGCTGCCTTACACAAATTAAGCTTACATTGCCAATTTGGAAATTATTTGAAAACGGCACTAAGGAACCAAATGGTTTTTGGACTTTCAAGTAAGAAAATTCAAACTCGACTTCTCGAAAAGAGGGAGCTAACGTACGAGGAAGCCTTACATATAGCCACCACGATGGAGCTCTCGGAGCAAGGTGCTACATCGTTACAAAACGGCGCTACAAGTTCAGCAGCAGGCGTGGAATATTTACAGGCGGGCAAGAAGTCAACGAAGAAGCCTCAGGACAAATACAAAAATAAACAAGCGAATAAAAAGAAACTCGAGTTTACAAATTCTTGGAAATCAAATAATAATAATTCGGCTCGTCCTAATGCGAACAAAGGGGAGATTGAAAATGTTAAATGTTTCAGATGCGGCAAAGCACACTATGCGTCCAAATGTACGTTAAATCGGAATGTACGCTGCTTGGGCTGTGGAGGATCCGGACACCTTGCCAAAGTATGTTTCAAAAAGAAGGAGTCGGCAAACAATCTGGACGAAGTCTTACAATTAGAACATGCAGAGCAAAGAGATTAGTTTTTTTGTACGCTCGCGGTAAATGGAAAGCAAATTCGTTTCGAAGTTGATAGTGGCTCCGCAGTAACGATAATGAATCGCGAACAAGTACGTGATCTATTTCCAGGTTCGACAGTCCTCAAAACAAATCTTAATTTAGTTACATATTCAAAAACAGTAGTTAAAATTCTGGGCTACATAACAGTACATGTACAAAGTAATCTTGTGCAAAAGAAAATAAATATATATTTAACCGAGATAAAGAAAGACCCATTATTAGGCAGAGAGTGGATTAGGCAACTAAAATGTCAGCGCGGTGTGCCAGATTTCCTCGCATGTAATATGTTAGAAAACGTGAGTACGCAAAATGTTACAAGTCAAGTACAAGGGATATTAGCCAAATACAAGACGTTATGTGAGCCTACTTTAGCAAAAATTTCAGGCATACAAGCCAGACTTACTTTGAAACCAGATACAAACCCGGTATTTCTAAAAGCGCGGTCAGTTCCATTCAGGTTAATTCCATTATTAGAGAAAGAATTGGATGATTTAGTTCAAGCGGGAATTCTTACAAAAGTAGGAAATTCAGAATGGGCTACACCCATTGTTCCAGTCCTAAAAGCAAACGGTACGATTCGAGTTTGTGGAGATTACAAGTCCACGATAAATTCAAAATTAATAATCGACGAACACCCGCTACCTACTATAAATGAACTTTTAGCTAAACTAGCAGGCGGTACAAAATTCACAAAAATTGATTTACGTCAAGCATATTTACAACTAGAATTACGCCCGGAGGATAGGAAATTGCTTACTTTAAATACTCATAAGGGACTATACGCAGTCAATAGATTAATGTATGGAATCGCGTCTGCTCCGGCAATATGGCAGAGAACACTGGAACAAATACTATAAGATATTCCAGGGGTGGCAATATTTATAGATGATATAGTAATTACAGCGCATTCAGATTGCGAGCATTTGCAAAGATTACAACTAGTGTTAGAGAGATTACATCAGCACAACGTACGAATAAAGGGTATAGCCGGATAAGGTAGGCAAATCTGCCCCCGCATGTATCAGATCCAAATTGGTGTAATAAGTTGACACCCATGTGGTATAAAATTATCCCGAACATTAACCTTGTAATCACATTTTTATAGGAGTTATGGAGGGGGTAAGTAAAATAAAAAAAAGTAAAGTAAAGTAAAGTAAATTGTGCAAATTAGAAATTTGCACATGGCTTCATAGAGGAAGGTTTAGGAGCGAAATCTAATTTTTTTCAATTATTCTTGAAAGTGTGCAAATTAGAAATTTGCACATTGCTTCCTCGTAGAGCAACATTTAGGAGCGAAATCTAATTTTGCACGATGTTTCTTGAAAGTGTGCAAATTAAAAATTTGCACCTTGTTTCCTCATCATTGAAGCGTGCAAATTGGAAATTTGCAAATTTCTTCCTCATCATTAAAGTAGGCAAAGTAGATATTTGCACATTGCTTCAATTGTTATGGCTTCCTCATAGATGAAGCTTTATGAGAGAAATCTAACTTTACTACGATGTTTCTTGAAAGTATTCAAATTATTCTTATTTTGCTCTTAAAGCTTCCTCTATCAGGAAGCCATGTGCCAATTTCTAATTTGCACACTTTATATTAATTTAATTTTGTTCTAATTACTTTGCACATTGCTTCCATTGTTATGGCTTCCTCATAGAGGAAGCTTTAAGAGCAAAATAAGAATAATTTGAATACTTTCAAGAAACATCGTAGTAAA